GCCGATTCATCCAACAACAGGAGCTAATCGGATCAAGTATCAAGTAGGTAGTGCGCCTGTGTCACGGTTTGATCCAGAAGGTCAACTAGCCCGATAATTGCAAGCAGTAGGAACGAAAAAAGTCGGTCACTTTTGTCAAAGACCACTTTAGTCTACTATGATGCTGAACCGTATGGTTAAGAACTAAGCTGTACTCGGTAATGGACTACTGATGTCACACCCTCAATTCTGCCCACAACCGTAAAAAACTGAAGCCCAATTACCCATTTTTAATCAGCTGACAGATGTTTCGGATGATCCGGCTTAAACAAATGTAAACCAAGCATAACATCAGAAGGATAATAAACCCGAACCGTCGGCCAACTTTTCGATAGTTAAATTAATAGAACTAAAACGAAGGCCAATTTTCCTGGTATTACACTGATTGATGTGGCATGGAAAAATTTCTTGGCTAATTTACTGCACCTTAAGTTGCGGATACACCAGGCGAGATCCTAAATGCAGCTGCCTGTGAACGGTAGCTAAATTTGAGCATTTATCTAGCGCACAGAAGCAATTTCCCAGCTAAATGAGTACCGCCTGGAACAATGAACAAGATCCTCTTAATTATTGTTCAAGGCGACTGGGGATAATTTGACGTGATCAAACGGCCTACCCATTAGAAACCATAGTTTTATTCGCCTCGCCTCTTCCTCCAGCGCCCGAGTTTATTATACCCCATAGAGCTTTGTTTCTTTGTTTCAAGGTTCTAAAACCAGCTATTCAGTGCCAAGCACCAAACATATTTGAGGGAGTCAACCCAACAGACCTTCGCAACAGGAAAAAAGCCAAGCACCTGGGGAAAATGACTACCATCAAGTAAGATACGTATGCTACCCTGAGGTCCACTAAGTCGTAGCTGGGAACGCCGCAACCAGTATCAACGACACTCGCAATAAAAGGCACTCCTTAAAATCACTTTTAAATGGCAATTATTTTCCAACTGTCATCTAGCGTACCTACTTACTGTTGTTCAAAACAGGCATCTGCTGGCAAGTAAAATGTTAAAGCAGGATTCACAGCTAGCTAGTACAATAACGTTCATCATTTGAGCACAGAAAATATGGTGAACTTATTGCAAAAAAGATTAGCCGTTTGAATAACTGGAACTCCTCAAATACAATAGTCAGCACTGGGATAAAGAGAACCAGAAAACTTTCATATCAAAAGCCTACCTTTACCAATTTGTTTCCGAGTATTTTCGATTGCGGGAGTCCGATTCACATTAGACAAAATGCCTAGAGAAAAGCGATCTGAATTTTTGGATGGGTTTGTAAATCCATCAATGAGGACGCTGGGGGAGGAAGCGAAGTAAGCTTCACCGACCCTGGTGTTCATCTCATAGTAAACGACGGTGCACCAGTACTTTGGCTCCTGGTATGGAATGGATTGAGCTATGATATACAAAACATATAATCAGTGTCAACAGCAGAAAAATACA